TGACGATGAATGACCGAAAACGATCGTTTGCCAACACGACTTTTCAATACTTAGGTTACTGAAAAACAGCAGCTGACCCTTTCTGAGCCGCTCCTGTCACCCATACGACTGAATTTAATACCAGTCGTCTTTGTCCTATTTATTTATCCCTTACTCGTTTGGTTGAGCGCCAAGACAACTTGTTCATTCTTTTCTTCCTTTAGGGTTGTTTTTCACTGACGCCCTCGGTTTTTGCTCATTTAACTCATCGTTTAATGGCATTGGCGGACGGGAAGGTGGTGGTTGCTCTTGAGGTAATATTTCCTTTGCTAGTATTCTTTTTTGCGCACCCACAGTTGTCTGTTGTTTGCTTGTTTTGTAATTCAAGCTCATCTAATCCCAAGTTCACGTAGTGTGTCGGTCCTCATCATCTTTTATGCTTTTCGACGTTTTCGAACATTAACGTTTATCTTTTCTCAATCTTAACATGAGTTTGCTTTCTTCTAACCTTTCTTAGTAGGTCGTCGTTTATCCCGACTTGTTTAGCCATATTTGTTTGTATTGCGTTTGTGATTGGGTATGAAACAGTCTCAACCATTCGAGTTAAAGAAGCCCGAATTTGTTGCTACTTATTTTGTCTAGGTAGCTAGAAATATATTTGACCCTATGTTTAGTAATGTAAATAGAGACTTAGGATACGTGGTACCTGTTCTGGTCCGGTTTGATTAGAACGCAGTTAAAGTTAAGGATGTTGTTAAAGTCAGGGATAGGGTCGATGTTTGGATTAGGGTTAACTGACGATGATCTTAACCGACATTTAGAAAAACAGAACTTGAGAACGTGTTGCGCATTGTATTTCCCTCTCTGGCTCGAAGACTGTTAGTCAGACACGGTGGCTCCTTCTTTATGTCGCCTTTATGGCACTCCCACACACGGGTGATCCGCGTCCCCTTTGTTCCTCCGGAAACCGGGTCCATTTTTAATATTCGCATCCGTACAACCCCGATTCCCACTGGTTTTAAGATGATGACCATAACTATCTAACCGAAAATCTCCAAACTACTGCAAAGTGACGTTGTGCGACATGAATTTGGATGTCTAGGGTGGTCGTGATGCCTTAAATGGTGTAGGCGTGCCGGTATTTAATTCGTCATTCCCGACTAAAATTATCATTGTTTGAGGTGACGATGGGCCGTCCTCCATATCGATCAAATTGACAGCGTCGTTATTTTTCTCTAAGAGTCTGATAACCTGATTCATGACAGGCACTTCGTTAAGACTGTTCAAGTCCGTGCACGCCCAAATTTTGCACATTTTCACGGTTCCGTTTAACTCTTAACCCGTAATTTCAACCACTTAATTACATGAATTATTGTGGCACCCGTTGTGTTGGTGTTAATCGGCGATCTCCCTTAGTCGATGCGAAATTGCGCAGCATCGATCTCTTTCCCTCTTGATATACCAATCATGTGGCGATGACAAGTCACACTCCTGACAACTGAACATAGGAGTACATGCAATGATTGGCCAAGTACTGGTCCACCCTACGTGTGCTGCAAATGTACTCGTCCCTAAAAAAGCATTAAACGAACCTTGTTAACTGGAATCTCATACTTTAGAGAGTTATCATCTGATCACGTGTGTGTTTAACCCGTTTGGGTCGTACTCATCGGTTCTGCCCATTTATGAAGTCCACTTTGGCCGTCTCAGCCACTCTTATAAAGCTAGGCAGAAAATCCTACTGGTTTTACCGCGTGTGTTTACCCAATACTACATCGTTTGTCGTACTGTACGACATC